TTTACTGTGATTAACTCGGTGTTGTCTGAAGAGGCCGTATTAGGTTTTGAATATGGTTACTCAAGCTCTGCCCCCAATACCTTGGTGATCTGGGAAGCTCAATTTGGAGATTTCGCTAACGGTGCACAAGTGGTCATTGATCAGTTTATTGCCTCTGGCGAAGTCAAATGGGGCAGAGCTTCTGGTTTAACCTTAATGTTGCCACACGGCTACGAGGGGCAAGGACCTGAACATTCTTCAGCTCGTTTAGAGCGTTTCTTGCAGTTATGTGCCGAACAAAATATGCAAGTGGTTCAACCCACTACACCAGCACAAATTTATCACGTCTTGCGCCGTCAAATGATCCGTCAATTCCGCAAGCCGTTGGTCATCATGACACCTAAGTCATTATTACGTCACAAAATGGCGGTTTCCCCGCTTGAAGATCTCGCCAAGGGACGTTTCAAAACGGTGATTGGTGAAACAACTGAAATCGCCGATGACAAGGTTAAACGTGTTGTGGCGTGTTCAGGACGAGTTTATTATGATTTGCTCGCCAAACGCGACGAGATGAAAGCCAATATTGCTATCGTTCGTATCGAGCAACTTTATCCATTTCCGCATAAGGCACTTGAAGCAGAACTTAAAAAATATCCTAATATCAAAGAGTTGGTTTGGGCACAAGACGAACCTCAAAACCAAGGCGCTTGGTTTTATGTTGAACACCATTTGGAAAATACAGCAGGTAGCAAAGTTGCTGTGAGCTATGCAGGCAGACCAGCATCGGCCTCTCCAGCGGTCGGTTACTACGCCAAACATAACGAACAACTCAAAAAACTCCTTGAAGATGCATTAGGTTAACCCTAACCATTGCCAGATAAAGATTATTTTTAAAGATGCTTGAAATTGCCACGGGTAAACAAGTGGCCATTTCACCAAAATTGGAGAACAACATGTCGATTGTAGAAGTTAAAGTCCCACAGTTATCTGAATCGGTCGCTGAAGCTACCCTTTTAGAGTGGAAAAAGCAAATTGGTCAAGCGGTTAAGCAAGATGAAACACTGATTGAAGTTGAAACGGACAAAGTCATTCTAGAAGTGCCCAGCCCAGGTTCGGGTGTGTTGGTTGAGATTATTGCGCCCAACGGGGCAACCGTTACCGCAGAACAAGTGATTGCCAAAATTGATACCGCAGCCAACGCATCAGCTGGTGCGGCATCTGCCACAGCCGCAACTGCGCCAGCCACAGCAACAGCAACTATCCCTGCTCCTTCTACAGCAACTGCCGCACCAGCGGCAAACACAGCCAGCACAACCACCGTCATGCCAGCTGCTGCCAAACTCATTGCCGAAAACAATGTCAGTGTCGCTAGTGGTACAGGAAAAGATGGTCGCGTAACAAAAGGTGATGTCCTTGCCGCGTTATCTAACCCTCCTGCGAATGTCCCCAAAGTACCCCAAGCACAGTCAGCTATGCCTGAGATCATTGCGGTAACCAACACCGAAAACCTCTCTGGTCGGCCAGAAGAACGCGTGCCTATGAGTCGCTTACGCGCTCGAATTGCAGAACGTTTGGTCTTATCACAACAAACCAATGCGATTTTGACGACCTTTAATGAAGTCAATATGCAACCCGTGATGGACTTACGAAACAAATTTAAAGAACAATTTGAAAAAAATCATGGAGTTAAACTTGGCTTCATGTCATTTTTTGTTAAAGCCGTGTTAGCTGGT